GAAATCTTTCAACAAACTGATGAAGCACTAGAGGCACTCACTCATCTATGCCAAGAAATTTGGAAGACAACTACCTGGCCAACTGACTGTAAGAAAGCCATAATTGTGCCCATTCCAAAGAGAGATGACCCAACGGAATGCAGAAATCATAGGATAATATCATTGATACCGCATGCAAGTAAAATTTTACTATAGATAATACAAAAAAATGGCTACAACCATACACTGACAGAGAATTTCCAGATGTTTAAGCTGGATTCAGAAGAGGATGTGGAATAAGGGATATCTTTGGTGACATCAGGTGGATCTTGAATGAAAGCAGAGCATATCAGAAAAATGTTTACCTGTGCTTTATTGACTATGCAAAGACTTTTGATTGTTCTTATTGCAGAGAACGAGTATTCCAGAATACTAATTTGTGCTCATGAGGAATCTGTACATAAACCAAGAGGCAGTTTTTAGATAAAAGAAGGGAACACCAAATGGTTTAAAATTAGGAAAGGTGTGTGCCAGGGTTGTATTCTTTTACCATACTTATTCAATCTGAATGCTGAGCAAATAATCTGAGAAACTGGATTATATGAAGAAAATTGTAGTATCAGTATAGGAGAAAGACTTGTTAACAATCTAATCCTAATCCTAACCTATAAGATATGCAGATGATACAATCTTGTTTATTCAAAGTGAAGAGAACTTAAAATATGTACTGATAATGACCAAAGACCACGGCCTTTGGTATGGGTTGTGCCTCGGTGTAAAACAAAACAAAAACACCTTACCACTGGACCAGTAAATAACATCAAGATAAATAAATAAAATATTGAAGTTATCAAAGACTTCATTTTGCTAGGATTAACCATGAGCGCTCATGTGAACAGCATCAAGACATAAAATGATGTATTGCTTTAGACAAATCTTCTGCAGAAGACCTGAGCAAAGATGTCAGTTTGAGGACTATGGTATGCCTGACACAAAGCATGATATTTTCAGTGACCTCATATGCATGCAAAAATTGGACAGTGATTTAGGAGGAATGTAGAATAATTGATGCATTTGAGTTATGGTAATGGCGAATATTAAAAGTACCATGGATTGCCAAAAGAACAAACCAGTCTGTATTGGAAAAATTACAGCCAGAATGTTCCCTGAAAGTCAGGATGGCCAAACTTTGTCTCTCAGGAGGGACCAGTCCCTGGAGAAGGCTATCATGATTGGTACAAAGGAGGGGGGAAGAAAAAGAGGAAGACCCCCAAAGAGATGGATAGCGATGGGCTCAAATGTAGCAATGATTGTGAGGTTGGTCATAGGGTCAGTATGAGTTGGTACCGACTCAGTGGCATCTAACAACAATAAGGTTTCTGGGAGAATGAGATACAGATATGGAAGTGGGTGAGAGAGGATAGTTTTCAGGGTGTTAGATCAGATATAGAGAGGTTAGGATCCATTCATTTATAATGTGCATATATACTTATGTGAAGAAAACAACAATCCTCACAACTGGGGTCATAAACAACATTATGATAAACAGTGACAAAATTGAATGTTATCAACAATTTTTACCTATTGGATCAGCAGAAAACAACTATGGAAACAGGCCTAAAAAATAAAATCAAACAAATATGCTGCAAAAGACATCTTTAATTTCATTTAAAAGACAAAAATTCACTTTATTGAATATAGTGCGCCTAACTCCTGAACCATAAACCCCAAGCCCTGACACCAACACCAACCCTAAACCCGACCCTGACCCTAAACCAATGACCCTAAACTTCTAACATCCTAAACCCCTAGACCGTAAACCCCTAATACCCTAAATCCCTAAGCCCAACACCTAATCTCAAACTCCAAACCCCTAACATTAACCCTAACCCAAACCCCTAACTCTAAATCCTTAACCCTTAAATCCCTTAACCCCAAACTCCTTAAATCCCTAACTCCAAACTTCAAACCCTAACCCCTACACCCTAAACCCTTACCCCAACCCTAACTCTTCACTCTAACCCTTCACCCTAGCCCTTTACCCTATACCATAACACTTCACCCTAACACTTCATCATAATCCTTCACACTTCATCCCTCACCCTAACCCCTAATCCCAAACTCCAATCCCTAACCCCAACTCCAAACTCTAATCCCCAACCCCAAACCCCTAAACTTTAACCCTAAACCCTAACCCCTACCCATTCACCCTAACCCTTCACCCATCACTCTAACCCTTCACACTTTACCCTAAACCTTCACTCTTAACACTAACCCTAAAATCCTAACCCCAACTCCTACTCCCACTGCAACCTCTATACCCTAAACCCCAACTGCTAACCCCTAACCCCTAAAACCCAACACCTAATCCCTAACCCCTTAACACTGGACCCTTAAGCCCTAACCCTTAAACCCCTAAACTGTAATCCTCTAACCCTAACCCTTAACCCCAAACACTAAACTGTAACCCCTAATCCTTAAACCCTTATCCCTTAACTACTAAACCCTAACCCCTTAACGCTAACCCTTAACCCTCAAGCCCTAAACCCTAAACCCTCCACTCTGAAATCCTCATCCCCTTAACCACTAATCACCCTTATAACCCTTAACCCTTTAGCCCCTTATCCCCAAACCCTAGCTCTAGCCCTAGCCCTAACACAACCCTAGCCCTAATCCCTGACTACTGAACTCTGACCCCTAATCCCTAAACCCTGACCCTGACCCCCACCCCAACCCCAACTCTAAACCCTAAACCACAACCCCTAATCGTTAATCCCTATTCTCTAATTCCTAACCCTTCTCCCTCACCTAGAACCCTAAGCCCCCAACCAACCCCTAATCCTAACCCTAAGGCCAACCACAACCCCCAAGCCTAACCATTAATAATCAAAACATAGAATTATGAAGTATGGATTTAGGAACATGGAAGTCATCAAAAAAGAAATGAATTCATAAACATAGATATCCTAGGCATTAGTGAGCTGAAATGGACTGGTATTAGCCATTTCAATCTGACAATCACATCACTTACTATGCCAGGAATAACAAATTAAAGAGGAATGGCATCACATCATCAAAAAGAACATTTCAAGATCTAAACTGAAGTACAACACAGTCTGTGATAGGATAATATCCATACAAGGAAGACTAGTTAGTACAACTATTATTCAAATTTATTCATCAATCACTAAAGCCAGTTATGATGATTTTGAAAAATTATACCAACATCTTCAAGGCGCTCTGGTAGCATAGTGGTTATGAGTTGGGCTGCTAACCTCAAGACCAGCAGTTCAAAACTACAAGCCATTCCACAGGAGAAAGTTGAGACTTTCTGAACTTGTAAAGATTCACAGCATTGGAAACCCTATACAGAGTCACTATGAGTTGGAACAGACTCCACACATCACATGAACTCCATCACCACCACCATCTACAGTCTGAAGTTGATCAAATATGTAATAAGTATGTATTGATAATTACTGCTGATTGGAATGTAAAAGTTGGAAGCTAAAAGGAAGGATCAGTAGTTGGAAAATATGGACTTTGTGACAGAAACAATGCTGGATTTAACATGACGGAATTTTGCAAGACCAATGACTTCTTCATAGCAAATACCATTTTTTAAAAGCATAAAGGATTATATACATAGACTTCACCAACCAGATGGAATGTACAGAAATGAAATTGACTACATCTGTTGAAAGATTTGTTGGAGAAGTTCCATGTCATCAGCCAAAACAAGACCAGGGGCAGACTGTTGAATAGACCATCAATTGTTCATTTCTTCCATTTGCTTTAGCCTCTCCATGCTAGGGAGCAAGTTTCAGAGTCTCTTCTGACATCTATTTAGGTCTTTTCCTTATTCTTGTCTTTTTAATGACCTTTTTGCTTTCTCCTGTATAATGTTCTTAATATTATCCCACAACTCTTCTGTTCTTTGTTTGGTCTTTAGTGTTGGATGCATCAAATCTGTTTTTCAGATAATTTCTAAATTCAGGTGGAATATATTCAAGGTCATGCTTTGGTTCTCATGAACTTGTGTAAATTTCTTCAGCTTCAGTTTAAACTTTAATATGAGCAATTGATGGTCTGTTTTACAGTCTGCCCCTGGCCTATTCTGGCTGATGATATGGAAAATTTACACCATCTCTTTCCACTTATTATCCTTCCTCTTTGTTTCCAACCTTTGCATCCCTATTGCCAGCAGTTACCAATACATCTTTATTACAAATTTGATCAATTTCAGGGAGAATTTGGCAGAATTCTTAAATTTCAACACCACTGGATTTAGTGGTTGGTGTGTAAACATGAATACTAGTAGCATTAACTGGTCTTCCTTGTTGGTGTATGGATATTATCCTATCACAGACAGCATTTTCCTATTATTAATGGTTGATTGCAGCAGTTTCTCCTCATTTTGAGTTATGCCCCATCAGCAAATGAAGGTCCCAAAGACGTTATTCTATTCACATCATCATGCTCAACTCTACTTTAAGGAGCACTTCCTCAGTTGTATTTTGAGTGTCCTCCAACCTGAGGGGTTCATCTTCCACCATTCCACTATATATGACAATATTTTGGCGTTATTCATCATGTTTCAATATTCAGCATTCTAGTGCAGAAAATGTTTCACTGCTATTCATAAGGTTTCCAGTGAGTAAATATTTGGAAATAGTTCATCTATCCCCCTCTTACAAGTCTGTCTCATCTGGAAGCTCAGTTGAAACCTGTCCACCATGGGTGACTCTGCTATTTAAAATACCTGTGGCATAGTTTCCAGAATCACAGCAACACAGAAGCCACTATAAAATGACAAACTGACAGACAGGTGGGGGAAATGTTTATATAAGCTTTATTAAAACCATTAATGAAAAAATTATTAAGAGGGAAATACCTAAAAGAACGATGAGTCCTTCTAATGAAATTTCAATTTAAATAAAAAATACAGTTTATAGAAATTCATACAGTATATTTAAAATGTCTCAGGTAAGTAAATAAGAAGTAAAGCACATAATTTAGTTCTAAACACAGACTCTTTTTTTTCCACAAATCTTAAGTCTCTCTCTCCGGTGAGTTTGCATATGCTCTGTGAGTTTTGAGGAGAAATGAAAGATACTGCCACATTCATTACATTCATAAGGCCTCTCTCCACTGTGAGCTCTATTATGCTTTATGAGGCTTGATAAATGACGAAAGGCGTTTCCACATTCATTACATTCATACGGCCTCTCTCCATTGTGAGTTCTCCTATGAACTGTGAGGTGTGAAGACCTAATAAACGCTTTGCCACATTCATTACATTCATAAGGCCTCTCTCCACTGTGAGTTCTCTTATGCATTATGAGACCTGATAACTGACTAAAGGTGTTTCCACATTCATTACATTCATAAGGCCTCTCTCCACTGTGAGTTCTCTTATGAACTGTGAGGTGTGAAGACCTAACGAAGGCTTTGCCACATTCATTACATTCATAAGGTCTCTCTCCACTGTGAGTTTTTTTATGGGCTGTGAGATTTGAGGACTGACTAAAAGCTTTACCACATTCATTACATTCATAAGGCTTCTCTCCACTGTGAGTTCTCTTATGAATTGTGAGGTGTGAAGACCAAATAAATGCTTTGCCACATTCATTACATTCATACGGCTTCTCTCCACTGTGAGTTCTCTTATGAACTGTGAGGTGTGAAGACCAAATAAATGCTTTGCCACATTTATTACATTCATACGGCTTCTCTCCACTGTGAGTTCTCTTATGTACTGTGAGGTGTGAAGACCTAACGAAGGCTTTGCCACATTCATTACATTCATAAGGTCTCTCTCCTCTGTGAGTTTTCTTATGGGCTGTGAGATTTGAGGACTGACTAAAAGCTTTACCACATACATTACATTCATAGCATTGCTTTCCCATAAAAATTCTCACAGAAGAGTTTATGTTGACTTCTCCACATTCCTTACACTGGTTGGCATTGCATCTACAGTGGAATCTGTTATGATGTTCTAGTGAGGAAATACATTTGAAGGTCTTTTTGCAATGATGGCCTTCAGAGTAATATGGGTCCATAGGTCTTTTGAACACAGAATTATTTGGAGATTGGCTGATGTTTTCTCCAAAAATTTTTACTTCATTTCTATCACAAACATTCTTTGCCATATGTCTTCTGTTAAAAATAGACATCAAAAATAAATTTGTCACAATTTCATCATTACCATAGGCAGTAAACATCAAATTTTCCTCCTGAATTGTTTCACATATCATAGATGAAATCACTTGGAAGTGAGGCTACCATTATTATCACAGTGTTACAAAAATATGATACTTTCTGATAATTTGTTATTGGTGAAAGATGTTTCAAATATTCAATCTTTCATGCACATTTACAAACATTATTTTACTGTGAAAGTTCTGTTAACACACAATATTAGAGCAGGTTTTCTATGCATATAAAAGATACTTACAGAGTCCTGATGGCACTGTAAGATAAGTCCTGGACTTCTAACTACAGTGTCAGCAGTTCAAAAACCAGCTACTCCAAAGGAGGAAAATGAGGTTTTTCTGCTCCTGTAAAGATGTACACCCTAAGCAACCCTATAAAGGGCAACTGAGAATCATACTAGACTCTATGGTAGTGGGGAATACTTGGGTGTAACACTATTTTGTGCTCCACTGTTGTTATTAAGTGCTGTCAAGTCGACTTCAACTCATAGTGACCCTGTATATGGTTTCTGATGAGTGGCTGGTGAGTTTGAACCACTGACTTTGCAGTTCAAACAAACCTTGAGGTCAAATGCTCATCCTATGGTGCCACACCATGGATCAGACTAAACTCAACATTCATTTTACATATATATATATATATGTATAAACTTCTGTCCCACCACTCATCTGTCAATTTGTCGTACTGTGTTGGCTTACATGTTGCTGTGATTCTGTAGTAATATCACCAGTATTTTAAATACCAGCAGGGTCACCCAGGTTTCAGCTGAGCGTCCAGAGTAAGGCAGATTAGGAAGAAGGAAAGATGGACTATTTTCAAATATTTAGCCACTGAAAACCTTATGAATAGCAGAGGAACACTGTCAGCACCATAATATTGAATATCGAAACATGATGAAGAGCACTAGAATATTGTCATATATAGTTGTGGAAGATGAGCCCCTCAGGTTGGAAGCCACTCAAAGTGCGACAGGGGAAATGCTGTCCTCAAAGTAGAGTTGATTGTGGTGATGTGAGTGGAGTAAGGTCTTTCAGACCTTCGTTTGCTGGTGGGGCACAATTCAAAATAAAAGAGAAACAACTGTAAACATCCACTAATAGTCAGAACATGAGATGAATGAAGTATGATTCTAGGAAAATTGGAAATTGTCAAAACTGAAATGGAACACATAAACATTGCTATCCTAGGCATTAGTGAGCTGAAATGGACTGTTATTGGCCACTTTGAGTCTGATAACCACAAGGTTTACTATTCCAGGTATGACAAGTTAAAGAGGAATGGCTTCACATTCATTATCCAAAAGAACATATCCAGATATGTCTTGAAGTACAACACTAGCCATGATAGTATAATATCCATACAGTTACAAGGAAGACCTGTTGTTACCACTATTATTCAAATTTATGTACCAACCACTAATACCAGTGATGATTAAATTGAAGAATTCTACCAACTTCTTTAGTCTGAAATTGATCAAACATCAAGATCAAGATGTATTGATAGTTACTGCTGATTGGAATGCAGAGGTGAGAAACAAAGAGGAAGATTAGTAGTTGGAAAATATGGCCTTGGTCATAAAAATTATGCTGGAAATCACGTGATAGAATTTTGCAAGACCAATGACTTCTTCATTGTAAATAACTTTTTAAACAACACAAAAGACAACTATACACATGAACCTCATCAGATGGAATATACATACATCAAACTGACTACATGTGTGGAAAGAAACAGTGGAAAACTTCCATATCATCAGCCAAAATAGAGCCAGGGGCAGATTGTGGAACAGACCATCAATTGCTCATATGCAAGTTCAGGCTGAAGCTGAAAAAAAATTAGCACACATCAACGAGAGCCAAAACATGACCTTGAACATATTCCACCTGAATTTAGAGATCATCTGAAAAATAGATTTGATGCATTAGACACTATAGACCAAAAAATAGAAGAGTTGTGGAATGACATCAAGAACATCATACAGGAAGAAAGCAAAAGGTCATTAAAAAGACAATAAATAAGGAAAAGACCTAAATGGATGTCAGAGAGACTCTGAAACTTGTTCTTTGGCATAGAGATGCTAAAGTAAATGGAAGAAATGAGGAAATACAAGAGCTGAATAGAAAATTTCAAAGATCAACTCAAGAAGATAAAGCCAAATGTTATAACAAAATGTGCAAAGACCTGGTATTAGAAAACCAAAAGGGAAGAATACATTTGGCAATTCTCAAGCTGAGGAAACTTAGAGAAAAATTCAATCCTCAACTTGCAATATTGAATGACTATATGGGCAAAATATTGAATGATGCAGAAAGCATCAAAAGAAGATGGAAGGAACACACAGAGTCACTGCAACAAAAAGAAATGGTCAATGTTCAACCATTTCAAGAGGTAGCATATGATCAAGAGCCAATGATACTGATGGAAGAAGTCCACAGGAAAAACATAAGGTTGTCTGCTTCCATAAAGATATATAGCCTTAGCAACACTAAAGATCAGTTCTACTCTGTCCTAATGAGTCACGCCAAGTCCAAATGAACTCAACAGAAGTGAGTGGGTATGTGTAGATGGTGTGTTAATGTATACATGATGGTGTACTGAGGGTGTATACATGAATAAATATGTTGTTGTCAGGTGTGGTCAATACAACTCCTGCTAACAATGACTCCATGTGACAGAGTAGAACTGTCCCATCAGGTGTTCTTGGAAGTATTACAGAAACAGACCACCAGGTGGTTCTCCTACAGAGTCACTGGAGGAATTTTCAGTGACAATCTTTTGGTTCACAGTCAAATGCCAGCTGAGTTCCTCATATTTATATAAATATTTGAATGCCATGATATCTTCTTCAGACTCTCTCTGAAGCACTGCTATCTGTCCAGTGAATGACACTCACCTCACATGTGTATTCTGGTTGTTATCCTGATTTTCAGTGCCATATATTCCACAGATTTTTTGTAGCATGGAAGGCCGGAAATCATCTTCCATGAATGGTACCACCATATCTTCAGTGGTGAGGTTTTCTTGATCATAAACATCTTGAGAAGCTGGTCCAATGATTTAAATTCAGGTTCGCGATATGAAATTGAAAGGAAAAGCATTAGTTCGAGAGAAAAGACAGTTGCAAGAAAAGAACAACTGCCCTATTTTATTGTTTCAATACTTTGGCAATGGCCCAAAGTAATTTAATAGGAAACACTTCCATGATGATTGAGAGTGACAGTAGCATGAATAGGAGCTCTGGTAGTGTAGTGGTTACGAGTCAGGCTGCGAACCACAAGGTCAGCAGTTCAAAACTACCAGCTGCTCCATGGGAGAAAAGATGAGGCTTTCTGCTCCCGTAAAGATTTACAGCCTCGAAAACCCTGTACAGGGTCGCTAGGAGTCGGAACAGACTCCACGGCACTTAACAACAACAAAAACATTAGATGAGTAAAATAAAAAGATATTGGATACCAGGCATATACAACATTAAAAGAAAAGAGGAAAAGCTTTCTCTATAAACACAGGTGACTTTTATTAATATCAACAAGCAAGGTCAGATATCTGTGAAGTTCCTTCTCCTCAACCAAAGAGAACTTTCTAACTGATTTATTCACATCTCAGTCTTTCCATGCAGGACCACTACATCAGAGGTTTCTTGCCTTCCTGATACTCCCTGACACAATGCCCCTGGATGAGCACTCTGTACTCTCCTCAGGACTTCCTTTTGCAACTGGAAAGACAAATGAGTGTTACTAACATGTGTTCATGTAGAAAGGCATAAGATAACAGAAGGAAGCCCAGTGACCATCTCCTTGACACTGACCCAATGCTTTGATCTTCAAGGTGTCTGGAGATAGGCAGAAATGAATTTATTTGTAGCAAAACAATTTTGTCAAATTCAAATAAACACAGTAAAACTCTTTATAGGGTCCCAGGCCACAAATATTCTCTCTCTGTGAACCAAAGAGACCTCCAAAGTCAGTGCCCATACCTATTACCATTAAAGAACCTGGTTAAACACTATTGAAATGAAAGTTGGTTTAATGTAAGCTGTTGTTGTTGTTGTTAGGTGCCATTGAGTTGGTACCGAATCATAGCGACCTTATGCACAGAACAAAACACTGCCCAATCCTGGGCCAACCTCACTATTGTTGCCATGCTTGAGCCCATTGATGCTGCCACTTGGCCAATCCATCTTGCTGGGGGTCTTCCTCTTTTTTTCTCACCTTCCACCTTACCAAACATGATATCCTTCTCC